CTCTGTCTCCTAAATCAATGAAGTCCAGCATAGAAATCTTGGGGTCATCCTCCACTCCTGGCTCTTCTTTCTTTTTAGTCATTTGATTTGTTTATTATTCAAAAAAGTTTCATTTGTCTTTATTTAACTTTTTGACTCTGTGCTTGTGCAACATTTTCACATTTTCTGCTCCTCAGTAAGAAAAGCACACCCGATCCTGTCCTGTATACATGTAGCATACATGGATAAACTATAGACCTTGCCGACATGTTTATTTATTTGTTTGTTTTGGACAACCTCACAGCATGGACCCCTCGAAGTCTGCCTGAGCACACCTCACATGGAGACTTTTGTGCTTTACCAACCTTCTTTGTATATTAAAAAAACTAACTCACTGCCATTGAGTCAATGCTGACTCACAGGTGACCCAGAAATACAAGGTAGAATTGCCCCTGTGAGTTTTCAAGGCTGTAACTGTTTAGGAAAGTAGAAGGTCCCATCTTTCTTCTTCATATAAAGGTAAACAATTCTATTACCAGGGGTTTGGGATAGCCTAGTTTTGTTAGAGGCCATATTGTAGGACAACTTAAACATCCACAGGCCCCAAACTGAACCATTTTGAATGCCTCTACTCAGGGTCCCTAAAAGAGCTCTTCTTTCTTGGTGGTGGTGAGATTCACCCTTCCAGATTCTGAGATGGCTCATTTTAAACTCAGAAAGATAGCAAAACTGACCAATCCCCACATTATAGTTTCATATGCTTTATGGATTTATCTCCCTGGAAAAAATGTGCCATAAATCCTATCCCTTAAACCTGGTGGAAGGCACCCTGGTAGTGGAAACAGTTAAGTGTTCAGCGTCAAACCAAAAGGCTGGTGGTATAAACCCTCCCAGTGCCAATGATCAAGAAAAAAACCTGGTAATGTGCTTTCAGAAAGTTTACCGCCAATAAAACTCTATGGGGAAGTTCTACTTAGGCTTTGCTTTCTAATTGGGATCATTCGAAAGCACTATCAACTCTACAGCACTTTCACATGCCAGGTGAAGATCTTCAAATAAAGTTAAGAGCACTATTAAAAAACAAAAGGCAAAATTTCCCCCAGAGACAGCCTTCCCTTATAGCTCGTGCTCTCTATTAAGACGTCTAGCTGTGAGGAAGTAAGTTTGTTAAAGCCACCAACTCGTGAATTTCTGTGATAGCAGTATAAAAGTCTTATCTAAAGAATCATCCTAAAAAACAAGTTTTGGAAACCAAAATAATTAGATATATGAACTGCCTTTTATAGTTACTTGCAAAACTGAGTCTAAATACAGTTTAAATAAGAAAGTTGTTATGTAAAATATGTATATGTAAAATAAAGAAGGCTAAAATAAAATAAAAGCATTAAGTTAAAACAAGCAAACAAGGCTGATAGTATACAACAGCTATTTACTCTTGACAACGAAGCTAGAGCACACTATTTAAAAAGGCAAGATGATAATACACAGCATATTTTAATGTAATCTCAGGAATCATATCCATGATATTAGTATTATTACTCGGAGACTACTAATGTACAATGGGATAAAGGGAATTAACAATGAGATATTCAAATTCTAGTATCCTACATACCCAAGAAACAGTATTAAAAAAGAGGGTAAAAAAGGTTAAAAATGTTATCTTGAATCTTTATTAAAAATATCAGTATGTTTTCACATGGTATTTTAACTTCAAATATTTTAAATGTATTATCTATAAGTACGTCCATACAATATATCATAAACATTTATGATTACACAAACCAACCCAGCAGCAGTGAGCTCACCCTAGCACACAGAAACAATCTTGATATTTTCATTTGTTATTAAAAGAAAATCAGAGCTCTTACAAGAAATAGTTTAATCCAGGCTTGAGACAAGAAATATACATGGTAAGCTAGGATTTTCTTGCTATACTAGATAATAAAGAAGGTACCAAACACAACTACATTGGGTCAAACTACTCAGAAACCAGTTAAAGAGGCACTCTCTCCCATTAATCAACAAGAGTATAAAATAAGATGGTGTCAAAAAGTCCAAGTAGAAAAAAAAAGTTTGGATGCAGATTGTGGTAGCTACTGTACAATTCTACTTGACATGATTGAACTATGGAATGATATATGTATTAAATAATGTTTTTTTTTAATTTAAGAAATACTTAAATGCACTAGTTAAAAAATACTTCATTGATCACTCTTGAAGATTGTCATTTTATTATTAAAATTAGTGAATAAAAGGAAAACAAACAAGCACTTTCCGCCCCCGTTTCTCCTTCTGCTTGTACACTCCCAATAAATGAGATTAAAGTGTATCTTTGTAGACATATCTCAGTAAACAAATGAAAAAGAAGTGAGAAGATTAGAATATCCTTAGTTTGCAAACCTCAAAGAATTAATGGCTCTAGGCACTGGACCTCAATAAAAAAGAAGGCATTCAAACTTTATGCTCCTCTTGAAGAAACCATGCTATCAGCTGGGAAGGGTAGAACTGCACCTTAAGCTTGCCTAGACTGTAAACCTGGATGAGAGCAAACAGACTCCTCTGTCTTCTACCAGACGATCAGATTTGAATTATCAACATGATGATAAGCAGCCCAACACTTAACCTACACACCACCACCACCACCACCTGTAAAATATCCACGTGAGTTGTACTCCAATGTTGTCCTGAAATGCTGCAGACTGCAAATAGGTTGACTTGCATCATGAATAATGTTAACTAGCCAAAGCCAGACCATTAGAAACTATACACAGATAAATTATAAGGAAAAGAAGAGAATGTAAAGTACTTATGTAAATAAAATAAGTATACATAATGTAATGTTACAACTATAAAGAAACACAGTAATTACTATAAAGTTGGAATAACAGCTATTTTGAGGAGCAGAAAAGGTTGCAACTGGATGCAGCATAGAGACATCTTACTTGGGTGAAAGAGTTGGACAGTCGGCTGGTCTTATATGAATAGGTGTTTTGTGTGGTTTCCTTTATTTTCTAACACAAAAGGTTTTCTTTTCGAAGTAAATGATAACAGAGCCATCTGATTTGTCTAGTTATCTCCAAATGGCACAAAGAAATCATCACCCATCACCTTGGAGACAGAACAGTATATACCACAGATAACGAGGGATTCAAAATTCAATAACCTCAGATCTCTAGAACTTTTTATTACAAGAGTTTAAGGAATTGATACATGTAAATGAAATAACTGCCTTAGCATGAAAAGAATTTGACCTGATCTCTAGACATAGGAGCTCATGTACTAAGGACTGATTAAGACAATGAAATGATCTTCCTACTTCTGGATTTTAAATGATAAGATTCCATTCTATAAATCTCTTAAACCAAGTTTGTCTTCCGTTACAAAAACTGGTAACAATATGACTAAATGTTGAAAGAACTGCTCTAATAGTCCGCCCCCCCAATCCTCTTTCTTCCTATCTTGTACCAAGAAAAATTCCAAATAAGCAGAGATTCAAAGCTGCCAAGGTGCTTCCAACATGAAGTAATGAAAAGAAGGAGTAAAGGAGAATCTCATCTTCAGAGACATACTCTCACTGACCTAAGTGCTATTCTAGTTGATCCTTATATTGTGAGAAAGGGGATACTTTCATACAAGCAAAAGATAAGGTAATTCAAAAACTGCTAATGCAAAGTGAAGAAAAATGGAAAAACAAGGGAAAAGTGTAATTGGAGTCATCCATACTAGAAGAACTAGTTAGTGCAAAGGGGGCCCTGGTGGTACAGTGGGTTAAATATGAGGCTGCTAATCCCAAAGTTCAACTCCGCCAGCCACGCTGAGGGAGAAAGAGGAGGTTTTCTGCTCCCATAAAGAGTTACAGCCTCGGAAACCCATAGAGGTAGTTGTGCTACTCTGTCCTATAGGGTCATTATGAGACAGAATCGATTCAATGGCAGTGAATTTTGAAGTCATAAATGAAAAGGCACTTGACAAGTACAGGAAGCAAAATTTCACAGCAGAGTCAAAAGAAAAGAGAAATTTCACTCACTACCACCACAAATCTACTCTGTTGATAAGAACTTAGTTTAATTAAAGCCAGCACTCTAGAAAACTGGTAGAAAGAAAAACAGGAGACATGTGTGTGTCTACCTCTAGTTTGGAGGGTATTTAAAAGCTCCATAAAGACAATTATTGTGTGTTTTCATCTATGTACCTTCCACATGCCTATGTATTTACTCCTGGTAAAATATTTTACACAAAATATACACAAAAATCAGGATGTTTGCTGCATTAAATAAGAAAAAAAAATCAAGGACAGTCAGATGAAAGAGAAAACTTAAACTTTGTTATAATTTGATCAAGTAAAAACCATGTCAAACTGTAAGAAAATACAGAAGGTATTAGGTCAACATTAAGAGAAAAGTTCTTACGCACTGTTTCAAGAATAATGTGCTTTCATCATATTTGGAGTATTAAGAATAGGGTGCATGCCCTCTTGCAAAAATGCTGGAGAAAGGGTTATCTTCTGTGGGACTCAGGGCAAATATATTTTTTTGAGTATGTCTAGCCTACGTAAGTTGTTAAAAAGAACTTACAATCTGCTACAAACACTAAGATTTTGTGTTTCAGAATAAGATTGTCCTCAGAGACCCAAAAGAAAATGAATGAGACTTGAATGTATCCTCAAACCTACAAAGCTTTCCTATTCCACTAGCAACCTACTATGTGATAAGATAAAAATACAATCCTCCACCACCAGAGAATTAAGCATCAAAACCAATCTCTGGGCACTAAACATTCCCAATATGCTCTTTTCACTCCACTTTTTATACCATTACCTACATTTTATAAGGGGCCACTGATTCTGAGAGATGAATAGGTTTTGAGCTTTGGCTTAAAGTATGTTCTTCCCACTAAACTTTCTTGCTTCTAAGATATATCTGTCAAATGCTCTCACTGCTTGTTTAATGTATCAGTTATAAAAAAGTTAATTTTCTAACACGGTAATTTCCATACCATGAATTCATGTTTCCATGCCTTACCACTTATTTCAAGCTCTGCCCAATGTGATTTCTTTCCATTTGCTGCTTCCTCGGAGGACATAATTGTGTACATCCTCCGAGGGTCAGGGGGCTCGTATTTTTCTTTGGGCATACCTGCAAATTAAGAAAAGAAACTAATCAGCATTCTTAAGAATCAAATGATAACTTTCTGAAAAACAGACATCCAAATTATGGTCTCCTAATACCATTTCCCACTACAAACACCTACAGGGTCCTTGGAGAAAGGGATGATTTCAAGTCTGAGAGAGGAAAAATACAAAAGAAGCCTGGGAACCTAACAAAGCCATTGTGGTTATGAAGTATACAAGAGCCAATTTGAAAAGACTATGACTGGGCAAAGATAAGACACTGTGAATATCAAAAGATTAACTGTAATGAGTCATTATGAACTGTATGAACTCATTAATTTTAATTTAAAAAAAAGAAAGGTCAGTTACCTGAAAACTGAAAATAAAGGGAAAGACTCAAGCATTTATCTTGCATGTCTGGCAGAAACTAGAACGTCAGTTAATAAATGTAAAAGTTATATAATGAAAAAATCTTACATTTATAAACCCTAGTGAAATAATATCCAGTCAATGATCATCTTCAATAAGACTGTTAAAATGCTTACTCGTGACCCTATAGGACTGAGCAGAGCTGCCTTTATGAGTTTCTGAGACTGTCACTCTTCTTGGGAATAAAGCCTCAAAACAAAACAAAACTCCCCCACCCCGCCCCCAATGAATGGTTCAGGCTATCACACCTAAATCAAATGATCAATCTTACCACCAAAACAGTGCTTAGAGATACACACAGGCATTTTTAGGTGAAATAATGTAGTACTCTTTCTTGCATGGTCCTTCAAATTCATTGTTCTTCTTTCATTTTTTTACTAAACTGGATTAATTGTAAACCTAGATAAACTAACTCTCCACCTACTCTGTATACCTACAAACCTAAATACACCTGGAAAAAAACTTAGAAGCTCAGGAATTAAAAGTGAGCCAATTAGATATAACTTATCTCAACTACGGTCTTACCAGTGCCCAAAAATTATACTGTGAATTGCTCTAGTCTATTCCATCTCCTCTATGACTTACCTCTTTAAATCCCTAACACTTCCTCCCTTCAGCTAAGGACCTCACTTCAATTTTCTCAGAAAAACAAGAAACAACCAAAAAATACCTAAGAATCCCCACAAATGTCCCATCTATACTCTGGATAATCAATCTATGGACAATCTGCCTTTTCTCTTAGCACTTAGTACACTTAACATACCGAATTCCACATCATCTTGTCTAATTATGGACATTACTCCAGAAATTATCTTCCCCTTCAATTTCCCCTTCCCAGAAGATCTTTTTCCTCAGCATATATACACAGTATCATTTCCCCTATCAAAAAAAGATCTTAACCCTCTATTACTCTGCCCCCTCCCACGACTTTTTCCTCTTTACAGTAAAAAGCTTCAGTACAGTTCTAGGTAGTGTCTCCTATTCCTCTTTCATCTTAAAATGGTATCTACAGACACACTATATTTTAACACTTCTAAAGCAAATTTTCATTTTACTATCTCTGAAATTAGACTATCTTATAACCAATGGTATTCACCATAAATTTGCAAATTTTACTCTCCAACCTAGTCTTTAAACCTTAAACCAAAACTGTCCTAAGAAATCACCTTTAAAGCAAACAACAGTTTGGTGACTATTGTCACTGATGTGACTTTTCTAGCCAGTCTTTATAATTCCTACAAATGACAGGGTCCGACTACGCAAATGTGAGGTGTTGGTGGCTCAAGTCATTAGACAGCTTGCTAATAATGTAAGATACATGACATACATGGGGTGGGGTCATGCAAATAGGGAAGATGAAACTCTAATAAGCGAAAATCAGTCCGTTTTTACCATCCACTAAGTTTAAAATGAGCCATCTTAAAAACAGGCCGGGGGTGGGGGGGGGTGGGGGATAATCTCAGTACCATCAAGAAAGTTTAGTTGGGAGTGGAACATGTCATTTAGACCCTGAGATTTCTGCATGCTGAACCTCCTCCATTCAAGAGACAGAGCTGTGATACCTGAGATGGGCAAAGAAAGAGATAGTGAGACAGCAAAGAGGTGGCAGTAGATGGAGCATGATACAGACCCCTGCAGTTTTCTTGGCCCAGGGAGGTAGAACTGAGTTGAGTGCATTTAGGCTGAGGTTTTCTGGAAGAGAACAAGGGGATTCATAGCTGTGAGGTAAAAAGACCAGGGAGAGGCATGCCTAGTCATGACTAAGAAGAAGCTGTTCTGACCACCGAACCGTATCCTGGGCATTTGTGATCCTGAATTGTCCTAATCAACCCCCTTTGAGTACTGTCTGTGAATTCTGTTTGGCCTTGCAGTGAATTACTGAACCCAACAAGGAAGTTGAAAGTGCTATGGGAAGGATGATTAATGCCAGAACTGGTAAAGAAGGTTAGAGGATGGGGCATGTCTGATTTTCTGCATCAGTAAAAGAAAGATGGGGTTTTCTACTCCCTGCAAAGAGGTACCGTCTGGGGAAACTCACAGGAGCAGTTCTACCCTGCCCTAGAGGGTTGCTATGAGTCACACTGAGTGGCAGTGAGTTTGGTTTTCCCTCTTGTGAAGTCAGAAGCAGCAGAAGCTCCCCTCCCCAAGTCCGCCCCCCCCCATCATTTTTACATGATCAAACAGTAAATAGAACTGTTAGATTAGAAGCTTAGGGGGCAATACGTTTGCGAATGGTGGTGAAAACATTTGGAAGAGGATGGCAAGGAATGGTTGCATGTTAACAGGGTCACTGACTTGTACATGTTGAATTTATTTCTTTGCTATGTACATTTCCATCAAAAAGTAAAATAAATTTTAAAATAACTTAATTTGATTTTTTATCTTGGTGGCAAGGAAATCATAGTATCAGTGGATTTCTTGTCCATAACATGAAATGCTAGAAAACCATGAAACGCTTGTAGAATTCTGAAGGGCAAAGATTATGATTTTTTAAACTCTACAGAGTCCTGGTTCTAGTAAAGGTAGAAGAGCTGCAGGTAATAATTCTCAATTTGAACAAGTTTTTAAGCTATCTAAAGGAAACAGAGAATCCTGCCTCCCCAAACAAGCAGAAATTCGAAAGGATTTGACCCTCAAAAGAACTACAATGTTTTGAGAGCCTCAGTTATACAACATTTCCCCTGAAACTAATTTAGTCTAGGAGGCATGTGGGAACCAGAATTCAAGGAGGAAAAATGCAGTTTGGGGCTTCAGGTATCAAAGATGAAGTTCAGTTACAAAATCAGCTGAAGTAAAGGAGGGGAAACCCCGAAAGGAGTAAGTTGCTGAAAAAAATCTGCATAGAAACATCACTTTGGCTGACACCTGCATTACACATGCATGGACATGCCAACATGCCCCGTGGAAAGATGCTTGCAGGCTGAAAAGGCTGAGCCGAAACTTTTCTGACAAATACAAACGTGAAGACAGGAAATCACAAAATTAAGAGATGAGCAGGCATATACACCTTGGATTTCCCTTTGTACACTTCAAAAGGCCTTGTTTTAGGCATAAAGAGACCACATACTTACTAGGAGTAGGTTTAAGAGATTTGCCCCAACACTGCGGTCAAAATCCACTCAGTCATTTCCAATTCAGAGAGACGCTCTATAAGACAGAGTTGAACGGCCCCACCGGGTTTCCAGGCTGTAAATCTTTACAGGTGTAGAAAGCCTCATCTTTCTCCTGCAGAGTGGCTGGCGGAGTCACACTGCTCACTATGCCACCAGGACTCCTAGGACTGAAGTCAAGACATAAACAACTTGAATATCCCCTAGAACAAAAATGAACCCTTCAGAGGAAAACAACAGTCTTGATTCTCTGTCACATATAAACCATAATGTCCATTATTCAAACAATGATCCAAGCCAAAAGAAAGAGAGTAAAATAGGAAGGACAAGATAACCCAGATGTTAAACAGCAAGAACTTTAAAACAACTAGTAAAATTTGTTTCATGATGCAAGTGAAAAGATAGCTACAATGAGTCAACAAAGGGGGAATCTCATTACAAAATACAAACTTTGGAAAAGAACTTCAGAACTAAAAAATAAAATGTCAAAAAAAACCAAAAACACCCAATAACAACAACAGCAAGCCTCCAAAACTTAATAGCAGGCAGGGCATTAAAAAAAGGGTGAGTGGTCTGAAAGATTAGTCAAAATTAATCCTAAGGATTAAAAAAAAATTTTTTTAAGGTGGGATAACATGAAGCAATTAAACATTCATGCAATTAGCACCTCAGTAAGAGGAAAGAGAGGGAATGCAGAACAATTACTTTTTAAAAAATATCAAGAAACCAACCAACAGAAACAATGCAAGCCAGTAGACAACGGAAAGGTATTTTTAGTCAAGAAAGAAAAAGGGGAAGAGGCCTGGGAGCAGGTACAATTTATAATTCCATACCCCAAGAAAATATCCTGTTATCCACAACAGCTTTATTCATAATCATCAAAACAAGAGAACAACACAAATGCCCACCAACAGCAAGAGAACTTCCCTATCTCAAAGCCATAGTGGATACTAATGAATACTGAATAAGGGAGACTGGAGAAAAATCGATGCATTTGAACTTCGGTACAGTGAACCCTCGTTTATTGCGGTTAATTGGTTCTAGACCCTACCGTGATAAATGAAATTCCGCGAAGTAGGATTCCTTATTTGTAAATCAAATATTTTCGTAGTTAGAGCATAGAGGACATGAAAAAACACCCTTTAGTCACCATTACACTCATATTACCCAATTTATTAAACGAAAAAGGGAAAATACAGTAAAACATTCTGGACGTTACAATTATCATTTATTATTATATTATTTATGGCATCAAGCGTGTACAGTATGAGCCAATCAGTGGCAGTAATGACAGAGCATGCACTGTTACGCAAAAACTGCGATAGAGTGAAGCCGCGGAGTCGAAGCGCGAACTGGCGAGGGTTCACTGAATTGGCAAAGAATATTGAAAGTACCATGGACAGCAATAAGAACAAACACATTTATCTTGGGAAAAGGATGGTCAGAGTGTTCCTTAGAGAAAAGGATGGCAAGGTTTCATCTCAAA